TGTCCGACGCAAATCGTGCGCGCTCGATTCGGATATCGTCTCGGTCGACCGGTTGTGCTCCTAGTCCACCTTCGAGCGCTGTTCTTCCCATCTCTTTGATCCAATACTATTTCGACCAGCTCGTTTTGTGAGTAAAGTAATAACGCTTTTTCGGACCTCTGCCGTTCCGCTGGCATTGTATTCGGGGCTGGCGCATCTCGGCAAAGTTCCTGTGCTCGTCAGCATCCCAAGTGCTTTTTACTGACTTGGCCCTCCTTTCCTTCTCCCTAATTTGTTTGAGTGCAGCGCTGACATATTTGATCTCGGCTTCTGCTTCGTCGTATTCGTCGGCTGTGGCTTCGTCGGTGAATCGTTGTCGTGCGCTCCTTCGTCGTCGAAGTTGTTTTCTTCGTCAGTTCGTCTACGTTGTCCAGTCCCTTGTTATTCACAAGTGTACTGAGCATGGCCTGTCGCGCCGCGCCCGCCCCAGGAGGTCCCAGGTAGTGTCTGGGGTCGGTGGAGACAGAGCCTCCTCCCACCTTCCTCTTCCCACTGCCTCTACCTCCTTGCCGGTGGTAGTAAGGAATTGCTCCCGCTTGTGTCCGGTGCGGAAACACTCCATTAGTCCATCCCTGCGCAATTCTTATTGTATGTGGGGCCGGATGGGGAAGGATAGTGGCTGTCGATGCCTGCAAGGCTAGTCCTGTGTGTAGGTGGTCCCAGTGCCATCGCGCTTTTTATCTTCTGCAGTCGTTCGCCTGATAGATGTAGTGCCGCGCATCTTTCTACCCATCCTAGTGCGCCAGTCGAGATGGCTATGTGATATGCTCTGCTGGTGCGACCCGGGTGTCTATAGTATGTGAGCAGTATTCTGTAGTGGGTAGTAACTACACTTGGGTCGCTTGTCTGGCACATGTTTTTGTAACTGGTGCCGCTGGCATTCTCTATCTTCGGCTGCTGCCTGCCTACGCGTGGGCCTTTGCTGCATCTCGCTGTGCCGTCGTAGTCGCGCTGGCACCCGAAGTCGCTGTTCACGTCTCCCCCAATACGACTGTCGTGCGACACCCTAGCGTGTTTGTGCGGGCCAAGTGATACTTTCTGCAAGTGTCGCGTAATATGGGACGTGTGTAGGGGCGTAGTAGGTGCACAGAAGGCATAGTCGTACTCCTTGGTCGTTATTCGGGCTCCTGCAACCCGTCCCTGGAGGTATGCTGGTGGGGTGTATATTTCTCGGCTGGCTCCTTCGTCTATCCCGTGGCTGATTAGTATGGCTGCCAAACAACTTTTGTTGACCCAATTGCCTTTGTTGCGGGCCCACAGGGCAGTACCGCGTGCGACGGTGGGTCTGTGCGCCGCACTGCCTCTCCCGCCCGCCTGCATGTGCCCAACTGTGTAAATCAGAACCGATGCTCTCAAGGCACTCGTTGGTTCCCGCTTCCAATGTGTTGTAGTAGAAGGTCCTCGCAGTAATCGGCCAAGTCAAGCGGTCGTCGCCATGAATGCTCCCGTCCCCCGTGCCCCCGAGGCTACTGTGTGTGTGTGTGTGTGTGGGGGCAACAGTGCGATTGTGCATGATGTGCGGTCGGTATGCTTTTGGCCCCTCAAACAGCCACCTAGGAGGAGGAGGAGGAGAAGGAGGAGGAGGAGGAGGAGGAGAGGAGGAAGGCTTCTTCCTCTGCGAGCCAGCGGGCAGGACTGAGGGCGGCGACAGTTCGCCGACTGGCGCACTAACCGTGCGCCAGTGAGGCCATGCACGGTGACCAACTTGTTAGGTCACGCACAGCCAAAACACATACACAAAAGTCCACGCCCGTCGGCATAGCGATCGGGGCCCTGCCCGCGGATGGGGCAAGGACATGTGGACCTGTCGCGGGGCGCTCCCTCTGCGAGAGCGAACGGAGGCAGCCTAAACAATGAGGCGGGCCACGCACACGCGACGGAGATGTTGGGGCCCTGAACCTTAGCTCAAGGGCCGCAGCAACATCAGACAAGCAACTGTCAGGAGGAAATCATCCCCATGCTCGGAAAGAGAAGGCGCGCACCCTCGGCGCGCATGCTCCTTCCCCCAGAAATGGGGTGCCTGACACGCGTGCACGAAGACGCGTGCCACACACGAGCGACAGTAGATGTTGGGGCCCTGAACCAAAGCTCGAGGGCCACAGCAACACCAGAAGAGCCACTGTCGGGACGGAGTCGCCCCCGTGCTCGAGACTAGAAGCCGCGCGCCCAGGTGTGCATGCTCCTTCCCCCAGAAGCGGGGTGCCAGACACGCGCGCACGACGAGCGCACGCACCGCGAGAACGTACACCAACAAACAGGATAAGATTCGACCCGCCACACAAGGACGACGGGCCCAAGGTCCCCGGTGCAGCCAGCGCCAGGACGACCGTCAGGCTCGTCCCAGATGTGGGGTATAACACGGATGCCTGCCAAAAGGGTCAGTCGCATCGGGCCGTGCTGAGCATAAACGGAAAAGGCGAACTCTCGCCACTGGGAAGAATCGACCACCCACACAAGGGCGACGAGGCCAGAGCCCCTGGTGCAGGAAACGCCAGGACGGCTACAAGACTCGCCCCAGATGTGGGGTTCGCACGGATGCCTGCCAAAAGGGTCAGTCGCATCGGGCCGTGCAATAAAGTAACAAATGACAGGCGTCCTTGCGCCGCAAGATCAAGCTAGACTGTCGAACTCTGTCGGGCTGAGTGTTACTCCCGCGCGCCATTTCACGAGCCTGGATGCGCGCCAGAACCGCCAGCATCCCAGGAGTCTGAACCAATCCCTCCATCCCGAAAGCAGGTCTTGTGACCTCTGGGGGAGGCGGAGTGGTGGCCGCGTAGCAAAGATAGTTCACTCCCCTTCGAGAAGTGGCCGAAACACGATCATCCTCGTTTCTATTGTGAGGGTGTAGGCCATCCATGATCCTAGGGAGGGTCGTCTTAGCCCCTGGAAGCCTCTTGCCGATACATTCTTGACCGAGCTTGAAGCATCGTCGGGGCGTATACGCCCCGCACGTGGTGCAAAACATCATGCTAGAAACTTTATGCTTGCGCGTGACGAACGTGTGCGCAAGGGTGTGCCCTTTGGTGAAGTCGAGAACCCCTTTCCAAGTGCTATTCGGCCCTCGGCAGCCTAGTTCAAGCCGACTGTCAGGGTCGCCACTAAACAGCAGGCAACGCAAACACCTGGCACTGCCCCCGTCGAGTTTTTCCCAGTGGTGCCAGCCTCCAGTCCGTAAAAACTTACATCTCGGTCCAGACTGGGGCCGCTCGAATTTCTCGACGGGGAAAACGCGCAAAACTTTGGCCATGACCTTGGCCGCGAACACTAATTTATCTATATCATCGCTAACTTCTTGGTACTCCGCGGGAGAGGCCTGAGGGTGGAGGAGGAGGGCTTGCTTGGCTAAGGTATCAGCGGCTTGGTTACCTATAGCGATCCTTCTCTCAGGCCCTGGGAGACTATCGATGACCGCTTGAGAGCGGTGGGCAGGCGTGTGAATAACTCTGTACTCATGGCCCTGTTTCTCATGCAGAGACGCCCCACGTCGCATTCCCGCATAGCGGTGTCTACTCGATATCTGATGCTGCACAGGGGTGTTACACAACTTAGTAACGGTGGCACTGTCCGAGTAACGATCCCCGCTACGCTCAACAAACAAAGGAACTAGCGCCATGGCCTGGTGTTCGGCCGCCTGCGGGGTCTGCTGGAGCACGTCCAGCACCGTTCCTTGAGCATAGGCAACAATTGACCCTGTCGGGTCCAAAAAGACCCAAGCGTAGGCGGCCCGAGACAGCTCCCTCACAACATGACGAGCACAAGAACCGTCCATACAAATGTCCAGGCCCTGGAGGTCAATGGAGTCCCAAACAATTTCCTGTCCCTCGGGATTGAACAACTTCGGGTTGGGGTCGTTACTAGGGGGAGGAAGCTTCGACCCAGGATGGTCCATCTTGAGCTCGTCCCAGAAGCAGTGATCCGTGCTCTCGGTCGCCTCCAGCAACCATTCGGGGTGATCGACAGCCGCATCTTGCCGAGCCTGGACAGCATCGTGATGTCGGCATTTCCATACGCGGTGCCTGATTCCATCAGGCTCGCCACAGAGTGAGCACCTGCCGTCAATGACGTAGCCTGCAGCTCTGGCTCTGGCCCGGTCAATCGCTTGCCCAAATCTTGCACAAGACCCGCCCCCAATCCGAGCAGCCAATACATAGGTTGATCATGATTGCGTCCTGGGTGTAAGGGCATCGCTAACAACAGCCTAATGTTGAGAAGGAGCCTTCCCCCACCCCTCGTGACTGGTACCAACTTTAAGACGAAGGTGCGAGGCGCTAGGACGATAACCAGATGTTGAAGAAGGTGCCATCCCCCATCCGCGTTCTTGCTGCAAACTCTTGAGACAAATGTGCCCGTTGCCAAGGCGAAGACCACATTGAACAAATGAATCGACCTCAACTTGTGCACCTGGTGCAACCTTTTGAATCGAACGTGCGCGGCGCTACGGCGAGAACCGCACTATGAAAAAGAACAACCCTCCATCCGTGTAACTGCTGCAATCCTTTAGTGCGGATGCGCGCGACGCCAAGGCGAGAACCACATTATGAAAACGACATGTGCTCCATCCGTGTAACTGTCGAAAGCCTTTGAAACGAATGCGCACGGCGCAAAGGCGATTGCCACATTTTGGAGACGACCTGTGCTCTAACAGTCATTGCTGCTAATTTAAAGCTTAGGCGAAACGCCTGGCCCGCCCTACTGACACGTCTTGGGGGGGCGACTGGGAGTTCTCGATAATGGTCAGGGATGGAGGAGAGAAAGAGCGAGGTGGTTGAATGGGGGAGGGGGAGGAGGATGGACAGGACAAGGAGTGATGAGGTGGGAGGACGCCATGTCTACACCCATACCCATCCCTGCCAAACGCATCCTGCGCAATCTGGGATCAGGCGTACACAACTAAGACGAAGTCAGGGTCTGGCCATAATCGGATAGGGACACATCGGGGATCTCTGAGATCTGGCAGTTCTGGAGGATGCATCGGACGCCGCGGCCTTCTCAGAGCGTTCGTGAGCACTCTGAAATCGTTTCCAAAACTCCCTGGAGGGATTTATCCCCGTTCTGGCCCCGCCCGAGCAACTCGGCGACTCCGAAAAGTGTGGCTTGCAAAGGGTGCGGTTGCAACCAGCACCCTGGGGGGCGGGCGAGTACCTCGACAGAGTTCTCCGCTCCGCCCCGAGGAGGCCCGACGAGGGCAACGTGGTAGCCCCCAAACCCCAACGACGCAGATCGCAAACCACCTCCCAACGTAACCACACTCTTTGTAGTTGCCGGGCAACGCCCACCTGGCCCCGGGCGCGGATCGTCCAGGTCGGGACCGGTGTGGGTGTGCCAGTGGCGCCTCCCGAGGAGGGACGCTTCCTGCTGCTTCCCGATCGAGATCGACGAACGTGGCCCGCGGCGACTGCGCGGGCGCCCCGTGCACAGACCCGCCCAGCAGCAGCGCCAGCGGAGACGTCGCGGGAGGGCCCGCTCTGGGCAGTCCCTTGCCGGTGGCCTCTTCCAGAGAGCCGAACGCCTGCACAGACATACGCTCTCGACGCTCCGCGCGGACTTCTGGGATCGGCGCGGGAGCCCCCGCCCCCCGGGTCCCTGTCCATTCGCGCGGGGGGCGCACGCCAGAGGCGGCGCCGGCAGGGGTGAGGGGGAGGCGGGTCCGACGCCGACCCAAGAAATCCGCGCGGACCCGACGCCGCAGAATATAGCAGAATCGTCAAAGACCACGACCAGAGGCCCCAAGCCCAAGCGAAGGATTTTCTAGCGGGAGGAGGCGCCCGGGTGTGAACAAACTGCGACGCCAAGACCAAGGGTTTACAGTTGAAGCACGGTCACCAGAGCGTGGCTCAAGAACTGGAGGCCCCTCGCCAAAAGACCCACGCGGCACCACGGGGGTGCCCGAACCGAGGAGCACCACGAGGTGGAGCCCCCCAGCAACCACGAAGAACACCAGTGGGGCCCCTCCAACGCTAGGGCTGTTGACTCGGCAACACGCAAGTAGCCGTAGGTAAGAATGACCTTTGGTGCGCGGCTTAACGGGGGATGCGGGGTGGCAAGGGGCCCCAATGGGCACGTATCAAAGGTCACTCTGGGGAAAGGTCACTCTTTTGTCTAGTCGATTGATTCCCCTCGTGCCAAGTGTATGTTTCTGCCCGGCGTGCGACATTGCGACTCCCAAACACTTCAGAGTCGAACGAAAATGTCTCTAGGGCCCCTGCCTTGGCGCACGGCGCTCCGCGATGCGCGACCCGCGCTATCTTTGCGCCTCCGAGCCGCCCCCTGGAGACTGGCAGGCCTCCGGCCCAGACCGCGACGTGGGAAGCGCGATTCTCTTCGCGCCCCCGCGGGCGACCTATAGATTACATGCAATCCGTCAACTAAGGACGCGCGATAAGGATGCAATGGCCTCGGAAGGCCATGTCGACACTTTGCGAGCGGGGCGCGGCCAGCGAAAGCAGCCAAGGACGGGCCGAAGGGGAAGGATACAAGGGCAACCTAGGAAAGCTGCTCATCCTTACTATCTTGGTTGACTGTAGAGAAACAGAGAACGGCATACATTCACGTCGTCCGACAGAGCGCGCCAGGGGAGGCGCAGGAGGCGCCGCCAGGGGGCCCAGCGCCGACCCCAAAAATCCGCCAGGACCTCCGAGAAATTACGCTCATGCCATCATTTGTTTTCCGATCTGTGTTTGTGCCCTCTTCTGGTGCAACATCGCAAGAAAATCACGACCGGAGCCCTAAACCCCATCTGTCTTCGGCACTTGTCGAGCCGGGTTGATCTGTGAAAGTCCTAGGGCCCGAAACCGGGCGTCAACGACCAGCGATCAGATTGCAGCGCCAGGATCTCAGAGCGGAGGCTTGTGCCCTCTTCCGGTTCTCTGTCTTCGTCGACACGGAAGCACCCGCCGAGGGACAGCCCGGAGGCCGCGAGTCGGTACTCTGCAGCGCTGGCGCACGCGACGGCGCGCAGCGGCGCCTCGCGGGGGCCCGCGACGCCCGCGGGCCACTCTGCTCGGCCGAGGCCGTCGGAGCTCACAGAAGAAGAAACATCGGCATGGTCGGGCGGGTGGCAATGAGGGGTGACCTGAGGGGGGGGGGGGGGGAGAAAACGGTCCTGAAGGGGCCCGGTAGGGCTCCTTTTCGAGCAGCACGGGCCCAAAAGAGGCCCTGAAAGGGCCCTGTTCTTCGCCCTCCATGCAGGTCACCCCGCATTACCACCCGGTCCGGCATGGGCACACGGCGGGGGCGTTCGTCAAGTGGTGTGCCCAGGAGGCTTCAGGCCATGGAGGATTCCTCATGTGACGAGGGCGGCGGTGACATCCATGGCCAGGCCACGATTGGTGCTCCACCGTCTTTCCAGACCCCGGGTTCCTTGTCCAGTGGTTCCTCATCCAATGCCCTCACCGTGAACTTTCGGAGTCCCGCGCAGACTTCTTGGATCGGCGCTGGACCTCTCCTCGCCAGCGAGCGGGGCGCGCCAGGGGCAACCCAGGACCAATGGGCCCTCGGCCGCCGATCCAAGAACTCCGCGCGGGCCTCCGACACTGTGTCTGCTGAGATTTTCCTTCTTCGCGCTCACCTGTGCGACGACGGCGTATGCCCAGGCCAAGTTCTGGATCTCCTGCGCCCCGAAACCCGCGAGGCGGCCTGGCAGCGCCACCTCCCGGGCGACGCGCCTGAAGAGCTGGTGGTTGATGACCTCGAGGGAGGCGTACGCCCACACCGCGCACGACAAATCTCTGGGGTTCCACCGGTCGAGGGCGTCCGAGCTTCCGATCGCCGCGCCAAGCTGGTCGAACAACGGCCCATGCCGGAGGCCCACCTGTGCAAAGCCCCAGAGGATGTTGGACAAGTGCCGTGGGCTCATCTGCTCGTGCCCGCGAACCAGGACCGCCGCGAGCCCGCCGAACCACGCGCTCTGCGGGGAGCCGGCCCTCCCCAGGGCCCAAGACACGTTCGCCAAATGCTGGGAGCTCATCGCCGGCATTGCCTCGACGCACGCGGCGGCCAGCCGGTCCCAGAACTCGGCGTCGCGGTGCGCGAGCTCGCCCAGCGCCCACGCAGTGTTGGCGAGCTCCTGCGGCCCGCAGCGTGGCAGCTCGCGGCCCCCCGCCGCGCACAGCGCGCGCAGGGTGCCGCCCTCAGACTCGAGGCGCAGCCTCGCCAGCGACCACAGGGCGCTCGCCACCTGAGCGACGAACATGATCGCGCGTTGTGCAAGATGGCGCAGCCACCTTCACGGGCCGCCAACGCGGCACACCGCGTGAAGAACGAGGGCGACCTTACGCGGGGAGCTTACGCGCGAATGTCCGCGCAGTCGAAGCCGTTTTTTCTGCGTCGCTCACCTGGCGCCCCGTCAGCCGCGGCCCCGCCCGCCCGCCTGAAGGCGCCAGGGCGGCCACCGCCCCCAGCAGCCACGGCTGAGACGCCGGCCGTACGGCCAGGGCGCCGCACCGGTGCAGCAGCGCGGAGTGGTGCAGCGCGTCGAACTGGGCCCCGAAGGCCGCGCAGAGCCCCGCCAGCTCCCGCTCGCTCCGCGCGGCGGCCAATCGCTTCGTCAGCACCCGGGGCGGCAGGCGCTTGCCGGGTGCGCCGCCCGCCTCACGGCGCCCCGCCCTCGCGGCGGCCTCGCCGGGGCTCTGGGCGCAGCCGCGCCCAGGGCTCGGGCACCCCTCGGCGTGCGGCGCGAGGGCGCCGCGGAGGGCGGCGGCGGCGCAGCAGCCCGCGCCGCGCTGTGGGGCCCGCGCAAGCCGCGCCAGGGCGACGCTCATTGGGCTGGCCCTGCCTGTTGAGAAAGCACGGTTCTGCGCAGGAGGGCGGACGGCGGAAGAAGCAACTCCGTGAGAAACACCCCTGCGGGCGAAGCGCTTCAGTCAACGTGCCTGGGGGAAGAACCGGGCAGGGCAGGACTGTTCTGTAAACGCCCAGGGCTGTTCAGTACGCATTAGTTGTGGGGGTCGGATAGTTTTCCTCCCCGCAGGCCGAGACAGGGCCGAGACACGCGTTGGGCACCCACCCCAGAAAACCGACGTACTGTTTTTTCAATACGCTGTTTTTGAAATTTCGATTCTTTTTTCAGGGCCCGGCAAGGCGAAGGCACACGGGCAGCTCCAGCCAGAGGGTTTGCGGCGCGCAAAGAAGGGTAGGGGGAGAGGGGGGAGACTTCTTAGAAGGAGGCTGCTTGTAAGAAGTCTTCCCCCTCTGCGCGTGGCTGAGAAATGCGGGGGGGGGAGCGATAGATAGGAAGAGGGACCAAAGACGCCGTACAAGCCGCGGAAGTACGTGTGCAAGATCCCGCGGGGGCGCCTGCCGCTCGAGTCGAGCCCGCGTTCGCCTGGCCGTCGTCGGCCAGGAGGACGAGGAGGCTCCCGCCACCACGGTCGCAATTATGGCAGGATCAGCCAGCATCGAATCGGTAAATCGGACCGATTCGAAATCTACATCGGATCTGGCTGCATGGGCACGGAATCGAATTCGAATCGGATCGGCTGCGCCAGGATGCGTGACAGCGTTATGTAAACATCGGCCGCATCGGATTGCCGGCAGATCGGAACCAAATCGGATCGGGCCGGCCAGAATCGATATCGAATCGGACCATTCGGATCGGACTGGACCCTGGTATGGGAGACGAGATACGCATCTCATGATTAGACAAGCGCGTGGCACTACTCGCGAAATGACTATTCGCAAATGGCCTGGGTCCGCCGTGGGGCATTTACGATCCATTATATCGAGGCAGACATATTTTTTTGACGTTCGCGAACAGCAAGTTTGCGAGTAGTGGAACGCGGTCGGTGAACGACGGACAGCACAACGACTTTACGCGGCGGCTGACGCGGGCCACCCGCGCGACACCACGCGGCGGAAGGAGAGGACGCCTGCGCGCCACCGTTGGCCTTGCGCGGGCGGCTGGATTTCGCGCGGCAGCGTCCGCGCGGTCGGCCCCAGCTTTCTTCACGTCGCCCAGGTGGTACCCCCAACTTCGTAATACAAGGATGGAGGCCACAACCCTCCCAGACGAGCAGTTGTATACCCCCCCCAAACCAGCCATGAAAGGGCGGCGCGTTGCCAAGACCCCACCGGAACCCTGCAATACAGCTCAAATCAGACCCCCCCCCAAATAAGACCACCACCATTGTGTTGTGAAATCTGAAGTTCGTGTTCGATAGCTCGCGTGGTGAACATTTTGTCGTGATTCGTGATGGCGCACGTGACGATTCGCGCCGGTGCCGTCTGGGAATCAGCCGTCCTGAGGCGTTCCTAGACGGCGCCGGCGCGAATCGTGACGTGACCAGCGCGTTCCTCACTCCTTCCCAGGCACGACTGTCATCGCTGTGGGGGATGATAGAGGGTCCCGTGGACGGTTGTCCGTTCCGCCCCCTGGGCTGGTCGCCCACGCGCGCAGCCCTGCTCCCTGCAGCGTGATCGCTCGTCACCATTGCCGTCCTGCTCGCCGATCTCGCAAACGGCCATGGGAGGCGTGGCGCCGCTTTTTGCCTCGACCCGCTAAGGAAACCGCCCTTTATAAAGTTGCCCAACCGTCACATTGACCTTCTGAGCGAACTTCCGATGAAGGTCCCCGGGAGTTTCGGGGGGTATCTGAAAGTCCCCAGACACCTCGAAGAACGAACACCAAAGCACGAAACGCGAAAAACCGGAATCTTCGACGGAGAGGCAGATACGGAGGAGGATCTTTCCATCCACCCCCCTTACAAATAATTCCTCTCTGTCGACCACCAGACGTCGGGCAGGGCGTCTCGCATGAGGCGTCCTCGCGACTTCTGGTATCGATGCTGAGAAGCTTCCAGCAATTATACAAATGGAGCACAAACCGTTTCCAACTTTAGCGCCGCGTGCATTCGCTTCAAATTTTGCAAAAGCCACACGCTTGGATTGGACTTCGTTTTCAATATGGGGTTCCCGCTGTAGACATCTTCAAATACTGCGATCCAAGATTCAAGATTGCGAAACAGTTACACGGAAACAGCGTTCACGCGGGTGGAGGGTATACGCATCTCAAAGCGGTGATGAGGCTGCACACGTTATATATGTATAAACCTGGAACGCTTCCATCTACCCCACGGAGTCTCAAGGTCTCTCATAGAGATATCCACCTCGGCAAACTCAACTCTGCCCAGAGCGCATCACGAGCCGCCGCACCAGGTCGGAAGGGCGGGCCGACCAGGCAGCAGAAGAAGGACAGCGGCGTCGAGAGGATACTCCCAACCTAGCTTGAACATTGTGGGCTGGGGGCCCCATGGCACCCAGCCGCCGAGCGCTCATCGCCGGCCCAAACAAATTTAACATGCAGCGCGCAGTAGTGCATTCTCCAAGGGCACGGGGGACAGGAGGAGGAGACACGACTAATGAGGTCGCCCGTCCGACTCGCAAGAACCCAGCATTCGAAAGCCCAACCACTCAAACAAAAATTGTTCCAGTTCCTGGCATGTGCAGTAGGTGGCGGGCACTGTCAGAATCAGCCCCCGCAGGGCTCGTGCATCCGAGCAGACACCCCCGCGGAGCAAAATGGGAGGGGGCCGGCATGTTGATCGAGTTCGCGAGGAGCCTGGGCGGGGCCACGGCCGCGCACATCGAGGTGCGTCGCGCCTTCTTCTTCAAATTTTGGCAGAAGATTTCCATGCACCTTGCACCTCTGCGGAAAAAAAAACTCTGGGCACGACGAAGTGGGATGGATCTCGCTTCCTCGGAATTGCCTGTGGCGCGGGCCAACCGATAGATCTTAGTCCGTAGCGGCTTGCCGTCGAGGCCGATCGACTGGTTCTGTCGCGGAACTCTGGGGCGATGCTGCCCCAAACGTGAAGGCGGCCGTCGGGGCCGATGGGGCCGTCGAGATAGACCGCCCAAGAGACCGCCTGGAGCCTATCCGTAGGGCCCCCAGAGTCCTTCAGAACCGATTCCGAAATCATCAAGTCCAAATTCCCGCGAACTACGATCTATCACTTGCCGAAATTCCAATTCAAGTTCGCAACCTCTTTGAAAGTCTGGAGCCCCTGCAACGCAGGCCCAATGTATTGGGGGGCGCCCAAGAGGCCCAAGAAGAGGTCGTCCGCACGTGCCACGTATATACCGATGTGAGGAGGTGCGACACTCCGAAGCCAGCGGGGCAGCGTGTCCGTCGCACGCACGTCGAGCAGCATGGGGGCGGGGCAACCCTTTTTGACAACCTGAATACAAGTCGATGGTGCCATACTGTCAGCTTCAAAAACAAGCACTCCAGAATTCGCATGATGCGTCTTCAGAGAAACGCGATATGAATGGCGGCAATTGCATGCGAGACAGGCCTTGGGAAGACAAAACAAACCGCGACGATGCCAAGGAAGGGGGCGCAGCGGCAATCGGTATGGGACAACGATGAGTAGGGGGCGCCCTGCAGATGTCTGCTGATCCCCGCAGCCTCCGCTCTGACGAAATGTGCCATCATATCTCTCCCGGCCTTTATCGATCAGAGTGGCAAGACTCGCAGACGTCGGAATGTCGAAAGCATCCGCAATCAATTTCGCATCCGCGCTGCCCGCGCCAAGGGGCCTGGTGGCGGGCGGGCGGCGCAGCGACTCAGCCCCGCCATCGGGGCCCCTCGGGCCCGCGCCCTTCCGTCGGGCTCTGCCGCGTGGCCGGCGGGGGGGGGATCTGGTCAGGGAAGAGGGTGGGGTTGGCTAGACATCGCGCAGGGCCCTGGCGGCCGTTGCATTGCGCCGCGCTGCGGAGGGAATGCCATCTGGGCCTGTCTGGGAGCTTCCAGTCCATCTTGAGGGGCCCTGTCAGGGTCTGGGCGCGGGGGTCAATGGCGCCCCTGAGGTCCGCGATGACGGTGGGGGCCTCGAGAATCTCATTCGGATGCTGCTGGAGGGCCTCAGCAGGGGCCCATGTCGAGCGGTAAGGGTTGCGGTGCTCGTCGCAGATCCCCGAGATGCACGCGCGCCTCCGAAAACGCCGCCAGAGTTCTTTCCGGCGGGCAGGACGGGCAGCCAGAGCCTTCCTCTTATTCTCGCCCATCTCGGCCTTCCTGTCCCCAGCCCCTCCCCCTCCAAGACCCGGTTAAATCGTGCCCGCGTGTGCTGGCGGCGGCCGTCAACGCGGGGGCGCGCTCGGCTGCTCGCCCTCGCCGAAGTGGGCGCGCCAGCGAAGGTGGCGCCGAGCGGCGCCCCCCGCTGGCCTATGCGAACGGCGCGGAGGGCGGCCAGGGCGCAAACGCGACGTTCCTGCAGAGCGGGCTGAAGCGGCCGCCTCGCGGGAACAATCTTCCGCGCGCTCGAGCTTGTTCCGGGGGCCCTAAGAAATCGGAAGTAGATCGACCAGGCCATCGAGGGCGGCGTTGAACTCCGGGGGCGCCGCAATCTAGGGCGCAATCGAAGGGTGCCGACTGCTAGGCGTGAAGGGCTCAGGAGTGGATGCCGCAAGTATATGGCCACTGCGCATAGAGGCCCGGGGGCCCGACGGCGCCGGCTTTCACCGCGATGTCCCGCGACTGCCCAGGGACGGGGTGGATGGGCGGATGCAATCTGCCCTGGGCGCGGACAACGCAACATTTTAACGACTACCTCGTCGGGCACCCTGGCCCTGGGGGATCTTCGTGAACTGCCGGACAAACTTGTCGATGGTTCTAGAGCAAGCCGGGCCCCGGGGAAAATCGAGCCAGTATCTCCGCGCAGCCGGCCTTGGTTTTCCAAAAAAATTAAAATTGAAATCGCCCAGCTACGGGCGCTGCGCATGTAGCCCGTCTCCACCACGTTGGGGAATTCGTAAGTGTTGTCGGGGCCTACTGAAAACACTTCTGAAAAGCGGCATGGGATCACTCGTGTTCGGGAGACGCATAATGTGGATGACGAGGCATCCCCTGGGCCCAGTTTGGGTAGATTCCACGATGCGCCCCTGGATGATCACATCATGCCGTGTTTCAGCAAACTGACTCGTCAACCTTAAAGTTCGGGAGGCGCAGGCTCCGCCCTCGCGGTTGGGGTCGAGGAGCGAGAAGCCGAGCTGGCGTGCGCAAAGCTCCCGCCCCAAGTAATTGATGTTGCCAGTGAGACCGTGTGCCTCCTGTGTGGTAAGTATATCATATAGCTTCGCTAGCTGTATGTATCTTGAATATTTGCTGGATGCCATATTGCTAGATGCGCGCGCGGAGGTCATGGGGGCCTTGCGCATGTGCATGCAGGCGGTCAAAAAGATGGTGTAGTGGCCCAATACTGGCGCCTTCGTCCCTGGAGGAGGGGATGGGGAGGGGACAACCAGGCTGCCCTCGCAGCCTTGGCCAGCGTCGGAAGGGGCACTGTAGCTGCATCTGTGCCGTTGCTCGAGCGCCGCTGCATGCTGAGCGATTCCGAACTCGAGCAAGGCATGAGGTTGCAGGAGACGACCCCGTGGTTATCCACCGCAGTCGACGCGGCCTGCGCAAGGTCATGCGGGCCACGCGGGATGCGCGCGCATCCGCGCAACCCCGATGAGCCAACATCGGGTCCCTTCTCGCGGACCAATTTGGCGACCCTGCTTCTCACCCGGCCCAAAGACAGAAACAACAATCGGCTATGAATCGCATGTTTTCCCCACGGCAACAATGCAGGTGCAACGGCGCACGGCCCCTTAAACGCGATACCCGGGGCGTGAAGCTCACCCCGGCCCTCGGCGACGGCCAAGCGTCTGAAGCACGCTGCGGTGCCAGTCCTCCGACCGAACCTACAGAGCAGGTGCGCTGCCTGCTATATTTGCATGAAATCCTTAAAGCATGGGAGAATAACCACTGCAATGCGACTGCCCCGCTGCCGAAGCCAAGACCCGAGTTTATGTGCCCCAGGGCCGAATCAGCCGCAGCAGACAAACCCAACATGACTTGACCTAATGTGGCGAACACTGGGGCCACCAGTGCACTGATACAGAATCGGGCGCAGCGACGCAGCAGGAGGAGGAGGGGGGCGAGGAGGGCAAGCCAGCATGCAAAAACAGCAACGCATCCGCCCTCGCCGACTGCCAGACACAAATCCGCGGCATCATGGGGCGAGCCAGGGCAAGAGCAAGCAGGCGACAAAGCGGCCCCTCGCTGTCCGAAGCACGTGGGCCTTAGCTGTCCAGGAGGACGAAGGGGGGGGGGAGCGGGGAGGAACAGTAAACTTCGCGCGTGTGCACGCATGATGCCGCCAGCCGGTGCTCGCACAAAGATCCCGCGCGAACTGCATACTAAAAGTCCCGATGCGGCTGACGAGTCGTGCAAGTAGGGCGTGCGCGACGAAACCGCACCGAATCCTACCGCGTAGGGGCGGGAACGGTTGGGCGCGCACGCCCGTCGTGCAGGCGGCCGTCTATCGGCAAAAGGTAGGGGGGGGGGGGGGGGGGGGGGCGCGAGGCGAGGAGGGAAGAGAGAGAGGCCAAGGGCGCGGCGAGGAGGGCTGGCCGCCTATGGAGTTCAACGCCTGGCCCCATAGCCTCATTCCGACATGTCGACGTAGGTGTACTCGCATATGCGCACGTAGATGGCGACGTGGTCAATGCGGAAGTCGGAGTGCTGGGCGAAGCGGGAATCGGGAAGCGCTTGGTCCAGACCTCCCGGGGACAGCGTCCGTGAGCTGGTCAACGCAGGAGTCGGTGTGCCGCTCGGAGCGGGAGTCGGGGAGCGCTTGGTCCAGACCTCCGGGGGGCGGGGTCGGTACGCTGGTCGATGCGGGAGTCGGCGTGCTGGTCGGAGCGGGAGTCGGGAAGCGCATGGTCCAGACCTCCCGGGGACGGGGTCGGTTGGCTGGTCGATGCGGGAGTCGGCGTGCAGGTCGGAACGGGAGTCGGGAAGCGCTTGGTCCAGACCTCCCGGGGACAGCGTCGGTGAGCTGGTCGATGCGGGGCTCGGTGTGCTGGTCGGAGCGGGAGTCAGGAAGCGCTTGGTCCAGACCTCCCAGGGCCGGGGTCGGTGAGTTGGTCGATGCGGGAGTCGGTGTGCAGGTCGGAGCGGGAATCGGGAAGCGCTTGGTCCAGACCTCCCGGGGACGGGGTCGGTCAGCTGGTCGATGCGGGAGTCGGTGTGCGGATCGGAGCGGGAGTCGGGAAGCGCTTGGTCCAGACCTCCCGGGGACGGGGTCGGTGAGCTGGTCGATGCGGGAGTCGGTGTGCTGGTCGGAGCGGGAGTCGGAAAGCGCTTGGTGCAGACCTCCCGGGGACGGGGTCGGCGAGCTCGTCAATGCGGCGCTCACTGGCTCACTCCACGCCGCCGTGCTGCACAACCTCGTATTGCCCGCCACCCGCACTGTTGAACTCAGAACACTTTTTCCACATCAAGCGCCGCACCCTATCTTGAGCTGGTCGGGCTGGGAGTCGATGGGCTGGTCAGCGCGGCAGTTGGTGAGCTGGTCGGTGCGGGAGTCGGTGAGCTGGTATGTGCAGGAGTCGGTGGGCTGGTCGGCGCGGGAGTCGGCGAGCAGGTCGGCGAGGGAGTCGGTGAGCTGGTCGGCGAGGGAGTCGGCGAGCTGGCCGGTGGCCCTTTTTTGGGCGCGTTCGTTGGCCATTCCCGCTTGGTGAGAACCCGGCCACGCCACAACAAAGTGTGGCTCTTTTTGCTGGCCGTTGGCGCGGCTGGGAATTCAAGGGGGTGCTGAGCGCGGACAACAAACACAAGCTGTAGCAATGGCACGAGCACGAACATGTAGTGGGGTAGCTGTGGATCCCGTGTGTGGCGGCATCCAGGTCAGTGCAGGAGTCGGTGAGCTAGTCGGTGTGGGATTCCAGGAGCTGGTCGGCGCGGGAGTCGGTGAGCTGGTCGACGACGCGGGCGTCGTGGAGCTGGTCGGCGCGGGAGTCGGTGAGCTGGTCGGTGAGGGAGTCGGCTGGTCGATGCGGGAGTCGGTGGGCTGGTCGGCGAGGGAGTCGGTGTGATGGTCGGTGCTGGAGCCGCAAAGCTGGTCGCCGTGGGAGTCGGTGAGCTGGTCGGTGCGGGTATGAATAATCATATCACGGCGAAGCCTCAGAGATAGCATCACGCAAGGGTTCAATGGATCGGGGAACTCCCACAGTCTGCTGCGAGCGACGAAGTTGTCCATGAACGCCCCTGCTTGCAAAGGCGTCTCGAAATCTAAAATGACTTTCTTAACCATGTCAACTGCACGCACAACGGTCATGCTGGCCTCCAAACCCGGGGCGAATGTGTCACGGCAGGTTTCATCGAGAAACCCCGAATCACAAATTTACGCGTTTGGTCCTGACGATGTCCACGATCTCTGGTAGCATTCGGATGTGATGGTTCAGCTGCTGAGCGTCGCTGGGGAGAAGGCGTCGAACATGTGCCGTTTAACGATTCCTGGTCGTGTTGATACTTCTTCCAATGCTTGCTCATGACATGTGATGTGGCATCAGGCTCCATGCTGTCCGTGCTGGTATGTTGAGTGCTATTGGTCATGCCATTCTGAATGCCGTTATGCATATTCGTCGTCCTCGTGTCCAAAGCACGAGAGGAAGTCGATACGAATTTTTGGACCTCCACGTGCTTGGTGTGGAAGTCGAGACCCATCAGCGACATCGGGTCCATAAGCTGCGAAAACCTTTCGTGCGACGAGTTGCAAACTTGTTTGATGGTCTGCATGCCCTGCCCCTGATTGGCGACCGCCTGCGAGAGCGTCTCCAAATTCCCGATGAGCTTGTCCAACTTCCTTGCGGTACCTCCATCATCATGCGATGGGGTCATTGTGTCCCCACGCTTCGGCGAGAACGAACGGCTTCGAGACGGTGAAGACCCACGATTGCGGCGCCCCCTCCCGCGGCTGTCATGCAATCCCCCTCCATATCGAGAGCGCTGACCCTTGCGGCCTCCCATGGATGTCAACGAAGAAGAAACAAAAAGAAAGAAGATGGCCAACTGCGGCCACTGTACCGAAGTATGTCGCGATGCCGGAAATAGTCCCGCCCCCTTTGTGCAGTGTAGGGCGGTCGAAGGCGGGCCGCACGCTGACCTGGCCAGATGCCTCGACAGATGTTTTGCTTGAGCCAAAATGCCTTGAGCCAAACATGCTACGGATATGGCTGCGCACATCCTTGAAAAGTATGATTCCTACCGGATTGAAACCCTGATGGCTGGAAGGACGGAGCGTTGGTCCTCTGCAGAACAGGGTCTCGCCCACGGGACGCTCGTCTATCACGGGGGGGGGGCGCATCCACCAGTGGAGAGGAACACCTGTATCGGCGGCGAGCCCAAGGGCGAAAAGAGGAGAAGGCCTTCTCAGACGGCTTGGAGGCACCCAGGCCTTCTGCGAAGTTCTCTAAGCCTTCTTTCTCAGAAGACCCGAGGGCTTCTAAGAAGCCCCGCAGCCTTCTGAGATGGCCTTTTCCTTCTCATCTCCGCCCCTCGCTCGCCGACGACTGCAGGGACTTATGAGGACGGGGCCTGGGACGGGAAGGTGTATAGCAGCGTCGTTGGCGCATCTTGGGTTTACCCTGGTCCTGCCCCTACTCCTCCACACCCGATGCTCCTCCCCGCACCTTCCTCCTCCCCACCCAGGGGGTGCAGCGTCTTGCCAATCAGGAGCTCCTGCACAGCGAGTCCACGCAGGCGTGGCGCCTCATCTTGGATGAGTGCGGGGCGCAAGCGTGGTTCCAAAGAAACGCAAGAAGCGAATTCACAAGGAACGTTTTTATGGTGGAGCGTTGCCCACCCTTTGCGGCGAGCTGTAGTGCTAGGGTCCAAGCTCCTCTGAGCGAAAGACAAGGCCGCGCGCGTCGCAGGCGCCGTCTTGGATCGGTCAAGGACCCATCACTCATGGGCTGCAAAGGGTTTCTGCGGAGCTTCCTTGGGGTCCTGGGCCCTTCTGGGCTCCTCTCGGCTGACTCTGGGAACTGTTCTGGTACATTCGGATGTCTTCTTGATTCGTCTGGGGGAGCCCTTTGAAGCTCTCGCTGTGCCCTCTCGGGCTAATTGTTTTGGGTTTGGGGGTCCGTCCGAGGGGAGGGCGGGGGGCGACTGGGAAGTCACCCTGGTCGGCCGTACCCCTTCCCCATCTCCCCCCCCTATCCCCCTCCCCGTCATCCTCGACGGACACACGTCGAACTCCCGTCGACTTTACGTCAGCCTCACGTCGGAGCCTCGCCGCGCGAACGTCGTCCCATATCTGGCGGGGTGGACGTATGGACTAGATGGTACAACTGTTGCGCGCCGCGCGAAGCCTCCAGGATTGTCCTCATAGCACGAGGATGACGAAGCCGAGGGTACCTGTTTCTTGCCTGACGCTCTCAGTGCACCGCCGCTAGGCCGCCGAACGGGAGGAGCCGCGGTGAGCAAGCAAGGCAGAAGAAGGCGAGGTGTTGAACGCAGGAGCCTGGACGACGACCCATAATTAGGCGCAAACAGGAGTACGTACCATTCGATGACACCGAAGCCCTTCAGTACGACGCAGGCGGTGTAAGGAGAGACGACATAGGATGCGAACTCCGGCGAAGGCTTGTCTCGGAAGGCGCGAGGGCTTCTGAGAAGCTCCGCCGCCTTCTGAGAGGGCCTGCCCTCTGTAAAGTCCCCCCTGGGCTCGCCGCCGAGATGCGAGAGGAGGGCGCAGGGCAGGGCAGGATCGGTCGGCACCGAATCGGATCGAGACGTGCGTCGGATCGGGACGACTGTGCTCAGGGGCAGGGAGGTGGGAGGCAGGAGGGCGCCAGGCACGGCAGGCTCGGTCGGCACCGAATCGGGAAGTCGGATCGGGCCGAGATGTGCGTCGGATCGGGCTGCATCGGCACAGAATCGAGAAAGGCCCGGATCGGCCGCGCCAGGGTGACCGACAGCGCATTGCACGCGTCGGGCCGCATCGGGTCGCCGGGAGATCGAGGCCGAATCGGATCGGGTCGATCGGATGGAAATGGGCCTGGGGAGGGAAGGCACCAGGCATGGGCAGGACGCGCGGCGGGAAGGATGCCGCCCAGCCTTCACCTCTGGCCGACGAGGGCCTCGAGCTCACGGCTCCTGTGGCGTGCGCTCGCGCGGGAGGACGCGGGGCGGGCCTGATTGCGAAGTCGAAACAACGTTGGGGTGCTGGATTGCGAGGGGGCGGGAAAGACGCAACAGAAAGAACAGCGTCATATCAATTCATGCCTACACCACTTTCGTATCGTAACGTGAACCTGCTTCTCCTCACAGGGGTGGGCCTGGCGAACGACGGAGCGGGTGGGGCGGCAACCGAACTCGCATGCCCGCGACAGCAGCACCAGACCCAGACCCCCAAATTCATGACGTTTTCGCGACGTCGACCCCCACATGTCTTGAGTCTGCAGCCTCCCCTGGCTTTCACCCCGAGTCGTTTTGTTGACGGCTCCAGGGCCTTGTGAAGGGCTCCCGAGGTCGAAGACTGCCCCAAACATCTCCAACTGCGGGTTTGGTTAGTTGGCCAGGCATGGGAGCTTCACGTAGTCGAACGGCCGCCACGCGACCCCACTGAATCCCACTACCGCCCCGCTGAATATTTCCCACTACATCAAACCAGACCAAATCCAACTGTCATTTGTCGAACCCTCCGGGTCGAGCAGCAGCTCCCATGCTCGGCCACCAGCGGCTGGGGAGGTCACCAGATCTCGGGCAGTGCCCGAGAAACTCCTCGGGAACACCTCCTGAGCTCGTGGGCAACGACCGTGCAGCTCCTGGGCAGCGGCTCCTGGGTTCGAGGGCAGCAGCCTCCAGGCAGCGCACCCCCGCGCCGCTCTCCCTTGGGAGGCGGGCAGCCCGACGACAACAACACCGCGGAGCGCAGTCATCCTCGCGCCCCCGCTGGGCGACCCAAACGGACAGGATCAGTCAGAAGATCCATGCCTGGGCTCGGCACATCGGTTGCAGATCACATGCACGAGTACATGTGCATTACCACGCCAGCGTCAGAGTTAGAGGGTGCTGAGCTGAGGAGGAAGGTGCAACCGGCGTCGCGGAGCCATGGGCAGGGGTTGTGTAAAAGTCTGTTCGCTCATGCCCGACCCCGCCCAGAAACCCACAAGGTGGACGACCTGGGTGAGGAGGCGAATTTCTGGGGGTCCCCAAAAACGTGTGGTGACAGACCGCGCGGTGACCTCGAAATCCCGAAGGACCTCACCACACGGTCCGTCGATGCACGGTTTTGGACCGAGACGTCCTCAGAGAACTGGTCCAAGTCTCCGAACCGTGCGGCCATCCCGAATCCCCACTGACTCACCAGACGGAGTGGCCACCACACCGTTTTGGGGACCCCCGACAAACGAGCTCGTGAGTGCGGCAGTATTGGCACAGAAACCATGTGCAGCGGTGGCGGTGCCCATCTTCTCGCGACGCGCCAGCGAGGAAGGTGCACGCTAAAGCGGATTAGGGATCCGTGGATCTGGCGCGTGGGCCCAAGATCCACGGATGGGGCAAGGTGCCCCGCGAACGCCGAGCTCAATGCCGCCCGATTTGGAGACGGAACGCTCCGATTTCGCATGCAAGCGGGACCCGTCGCAATGTAGTCCACGCGCTTTACTTCGTTACTGCGCTTTCTCAGAAAAAGGGCGGCGCGAGGGGGTCGACCTTCTGAGAAGGCAGGGGGGGGGCTTCCCAGAGGGGACCGGAGGCCTTCTGAGAAGGCCTCTCACAAAATCGCCGCCCACCCCGCGCTGCCCCATTCCCGTCAAGGGCTTCACGACGGAGGGGGCAATGCCAGCTCGAGGCTTCTCGGAGGGGGCCGGGGGCCTTCAGGGAAAGCCTCTCGCAGACACGCCGCCCGCCTCGCCCTGCCCTCGTCTCGTTCAGGGCTTACCCTCAGGACATGAGACCCTCGGCCTGCCAAAACGCACAGGACATGCAAGGGTACCCTCCCCAGGATGCGCGCGAACATCCAACAAGCACGACGACATCAGGGTACCCTCCCCGAACCGACATCGATCTTAAAATACCTCGGTCCGACCGTGCCAGTTCGAGGAGGGATGGGGGTGGAGGTCGACGCTGCCTCCTTCTGCCTGCTCGTGCTGCTGCTCCTCCCTTGGCCATCCTATGTCAGCTCCTCCTCAATCCCCCATCGCTTCCCCCCACGCACATCTTCCTCCCTCTTCGGCCATCCTTTGTCAACTCCTCCACCTTCCTCCTTCTCCTTCCTGCCTCCTCCCCCCCCCCCCCCCCCCGAAAACCGATTGGCTGGACATACTCGGGGGGGGGGGGCAAGAAGGGCCGTTCGACTGGCGAGGGCGCAGCGAAAAGGGGAGGAGAAGGAGGTAGGAGGAAGATGAGGAGGATGACGAGGAGGAGAGGATGAGGAGGACGAGGAGTAGGAAGAGGAGGAGAAGGAAGAGGAGTTACGGAGTTACGGATGTTGAGACCCTGCGTATTATTGTGAAGATGCAAAACTCAAAATCCCATGATCGAAGAAGCAGGGCGTACAAAACTTTGTATCACCAGATCGGAAAGTGTAAACCCACGTGCAAGTCAAACAACGTTCACCCTATTTCAAAATGCCTGCACCATTCGCACGTGTTCACGCATCCCGTAGAAAAGCCAGTCCACGCAATGCTGAGCAAGGTTGCTGATCATGTTCCTCCATAAGGTTGAGGGGCGGTGGAAAGTATACAAACTGATTCTGAGTAAAACTAAAGCCGCGACCAATGCGATCATCACAACTACAACATGTCCCTGCGGTGTCAAATCTTTGAGCAGCTCTGGCCACTCCCCAAGTACACGCCCCTCCCCCCGCGGCTGCCACTCCCCAAATACACGCATCCCTCTTCTCTAGAGGCCTCCTCGGGTATGCGGCGCTGCTTCCTTCTTTGGCCGTGTTCAACTGTGGGGGGCACTCCGCCGAACCCGGCTCTCCTCACAAGGCGTCGGTGTCTCGGAGGAGCCGCGCACGCTCGGCACTGACCATCCATCGCTCGGCATCCGACGGGGCAGGGCCAGCCGCAGCCATAGCCGTCCCGAGCTCGTTCAACAGCGCTCCGACGTCCGCGCCAGCACCTTCATCGCCAGCAACTTCACGATGATCCCGAACGCCAAGGACTCCCGCGTCAGGCTGCACTGCTGGCTCCGCGGCCGCCTCCTCCGGGGAAATTACCCCCCGCAGGGGCCCCGCGGGAGGGGGTGCGGCCGCACCTGGTGCCTCGGGCACCCTCGCCAACTCATTGCGGACACCAACATCGCATGCTTCGCCGGGGAGCTCTGGGCATCTGGAACTCCCGCGCCGCAAGCGGCATGGCCAAGCTCCTCGCCCGCCTCCGCCACATCTGGGGCAACCATCCCCCTCGGGGATCCCGTGGGAGGCGGTGCGGTCACCACGCGGGGCGCCTCAGCGCCAGGGGGAACTGCACCTCCCTCGTCCGAAGACCCTCGGCTCCAGCATGCGGGTGACGACCCACTCCTTCTGCGGCGGCCATCTCCACATCTTCGGACGCCTCTGCATGCGCGCCAGCGAGCGCCTCGCGGAAAGCCCTGGCCATGCTGCTGAGGCCTTGGCCGCGATGGCACTCTATGGCGTCGAACTCCTGCATAATGCGCCCCACAGACCTCCCATCGGCGCGACGGTATTGGGCCCGGCGCTCGGCAGCGAACCTGTTTGGCCGGCGGGGAACCGTTCCCGGCCCGGAACCATCGCCCGCGCGGGGAGAGGGGAGACGGGGTGCGCGGAGGAGGAGGAGGGCGGCGCGGGGAGCCCGTGGCGCGGGCTTGCGACGAGTTCGCAGGCTCGGGCCGAGCTGGCGCTGGAGGGGGAGGAGAAGGAGGAGGACGAGGAGGACGAGGAGGAGGAGGAGGAGGAGGAGGAGGAGAAGGAAGAGGAGGAGGAGGAGGAGCAGTGAAAACCCAAGAGTAGTCATCAACGATGTTGGAATAAATCCCTCCCTCCAAGCTCCCTGTTCATAGGCCCCTACAACGGTTTATTTCCACTGAGGGAACTGCCTTGTTGGAAGACAACCGTTTGAAAACCCTGAAACATGTCAGAACAGTGTTCTCGGAAACCCAACGCCACGGATCAACCTGACTGTTGCGTCTTGGCGATCTCCTCGGATCGTGCCAGAGCACCATTCCTGAAACTTCACCACAGCGAATCAACGTAAGTGTTTCGCCCACATCATCCTGAACCCTTACAAAACACCATTCTCAATATGTTGATTATGGAAATATGTCAACATCTTGCAGATTTTGAAAACGAATGTGCGCGGCGCTTAGGCGAGAACCACACTTTGAAAAAGAACCGCCCTTAATCCGTGAAGCTGCTGCAATTTTTGAACACGAATGTGCGCGGCGCTAAGGCGAGAACCACATTGTGAAAACGACCCGCCCTCAATCCGTGAAGCTCTTGCAAATGTTGAAAACGAAAGTGCGCGGCGCCAAAGCGAGAACCACATTTTGAAAAGGAGCCGCCCTCAATCCGTGATACTTTTGCAACTGTTGAAAACGAATGTGCGCGGTGCTAAGCGAGAGCCACATTGTGAAAACGACCCGCCCTCGATTTGTGAAACTGCTGTCATTTTGAAGCGTCAGGGTCATTCATTGTGAGGCGGTTCCAGGCGAAACGCCTGGCCCGCCTTACAAACTGGCGTCGGGGTGCGACAGGGAGAAGATATCTAGCAGGAAGCAGACTGGAAGAGGAAAAGAGGAGGACGATACGCCCGCCTCGCCGCCGCGACGCCGAGGCCCGCCCCGGCAGTCACTCCGCCTTCTCGGGCCGCGCCGCCGCCGCAGGCGAGGCCGCGGAGCGCCCGCGCAGCGCCCGCGCAGCGGCGGCGAGCGCAAGCGCCAGCGCCAGCGCCAGAGCCGCGCCCGGCGGCCACCCCACGGCGGCCAGAGCGGAGGCCGCCACCGCTGGCGGCGGCCGCCCGTCGGCGGGCACCTCTCGGGCGTTGCGTAATGGGGAGGGGGGGATCATGGGGGGGGGGGCACGGTCCAAAAAGAGCATGAAAAAGGTGCACTTTGATTCTTCGCCCCCCCACGAATACTTGGCGGCGCGCGGAAGGTGTTATGGGGGAGGGGGGAAGACTTCTTAGAAGAAGGCTGCTTCTAAGAAGCCTGCCCCCCCCGTGGCTGAAATGAATCGCGCTCTAATGCGTGCAACGCCCGCGCACCTTCTGCACCCGCCACTGCCGGGCGGGCGCGGGCGCGCCCTCAGCGGGCTCCGCCGGCTCACGGCGCAAGCGCAGCGCCTGACCCTCGCAACGCGCGGCTGCGGGTGGCTCCCCAGCACAGCCGGCGGCGGAAGGTATCGGCCCTGCGTTTATGCGGACTGGGCAGTCCGCCGCCCTTCTGGGAAGGCCCGAGCGGCGCCAGTCGATGGCCGCGCGGCCTACGACGCCGCACGCACGACGCAGATCTCCGACGACTAGTTCCCAACGTCTCGCGTCTCCCGCGCCCCGCGTCTCCCTCACTCCTCCTCCACACTAAAACAATATGAATGCTGCACCCCTCTCTCCCCTGGTGGCGTCCGGGAAATATTCGGCCCCCCTCCGCGTACAAGCTGCTCACACACAAAATTCCCGGGAAACAAGTTTTCGCTTTGCTTCTTTGTTCCAAATGCTGTTCTCGCTGAAGCGCTGGCCTCATTTTCGGGTAACCGCTCGTTCCGAATCGTGCTCCCGCTGCAGCGCTGGCCTCACTTCCGCGCTTCCGCTCGTTCCGCATCGCGTTCCCGTTGCAGGGATGGCGTCATTATTTCCAGCGCCGTGCCACGGCATGGTTTTCGGTCCTTCCAAAAACGCTCCAAAAACTATACAATCGCCGCCCGGAAAAAAACATCGGAAGTTTTTGTTGACCCTGATCTGCCAAGTGGCCGCTCGATTTCTAGACGTCGTTGCACGGGATTGCTCGCGCCCGTCCTTTCGCCGTCTCTCTCTGAGACAGCGCCCAAAAAGGAAAAACCGCTAGTCCACCGACCGCGCGAGCGGCCCCGGCCGCCGCCGCCAGGGGTGGCAGGCGCCTCTCCATGAGACGCGGCCCGACGATGCGCAGAAGGAAGCGAGGACAAGGAGGAGAAAAAGACTGCGGCTTGCGTCCGCCACGCGCGGGCCAGAAATCGGTGACGCCTCGAGGTGGCTCTGAAACGAACTAACTTCAAAGTGCTGTTCGCGGCAGTTCTGTAAGAGCAGAAGAACAGAACAAAAACATCAACACACGCAGAGACAATAATAAGAGACGACACTGGTGTGTTAGCTAAGAGGAGGAAAGGGAGAAGCCAGGGCGAACCCTCAAGAAGCGACGGGGACGAAATACAGAGATGACCAAGCCCGTGCTTGAATAGAGAAACCAATCGAAGAGAGCAGACATAGTGTTCAACCGAATCTACATCATCTTCCGCAACTGGGCAACCTTCACGCCTGGACTTATATCTGTTCGTAGCGCGCAGGCCTCGGCGCAGGATGCGCATGATGACAGCAAGGAGGCAAGGCAGAGACTTTCTATTAATAGTATATGATTTGATATAGCATCCGTCCATATTGCGCTGAGAAACGAGAGGGAATGAAGCGCGCATGCGGCGACATAAAATATGTCGGGGTTCTTCTCGGGCTGGCGAACGGTCGAACACAGACTTGCGCGGCTGAGCATACAACTTATTCGAGGCGGGCGAGAGCTCGCTCAGAGGGAATGCTGTGATGCCATGACGCAGCGACTGCGTGTAAAGCAAGAAACTGGATTTCCACCAACCCGCCTGCATCCGTAAAGCGACATGCTCCCATTCATCATCCAAACAAAAACAGATGCTCAAAAACAGCGCTGGCCACTTCATTGCGGATCATATATCGCAAACAGGTGGCGTTCGCTAGTGCCTGGAGGTCGGGAAACTCGATGGGCAGGTGCAATTGCTTGAGCTGGGTGCAGAACGAATAAGATAGCTAAATTCTTGGCCCAGCCGTGAGGAACGTGGCCGACTCCTGGAAACACTTCAGAAACTCTTGAGATATCGGGTGGGCCTGAAAAACAAAGCTCAGAACCGAAACGCACGTGGCCCGAAACGCCATGGCAGCCCTCGTCAGTCCCAGCCCCAGTTGACGAGCGATGCCCACGCGAGCCCTGAACTTCGGAAGCACCTCGCGCCATGCATCACCGTGGGCCATGTGACCAATGAAGATGCCGAGGCATTTCACACTGTCCAAGGCTAGGGCGCGATTGAAGTCACCGCGGGGCGCGCGGGCAGAGCGGCGAACAAGCTGGAGGTCTAGGTTACGGCGACCAGGATCGGACGCTTCTTGGAATTGAGAGCGAGACCAGCTGAACGTTCGAGTGCCACAATGGTGTAAAAGGACAGAGCCCACGGGGATAAACGCGTCCAGGGCCCCGAAGCAGGTATCGTCGGCACTGGCAAAAGGCAGATCAACATGTGCACCCATCCTGGCCTTCGCCCACCTCAAAACCGCGTCCGCCGCAAGCACGGGCAGAAACTTCGCCCCCCCTACCTGCGACGATCGCGCCAGGCCTCCTCCCGCCCAATGCAAACGTGACCGGCTGTTCTTGATGTAGCAGAACAAAAAAAGCCCACCACTGCAGATGGGGCTCCCATGCAGCTGAGGGCGCAAAGAAGCCGCGGCATCGCTGAAGACGGGAAAGCGGCGCAGGAATCCGCGAAGAGTAAGCTGGCGCCACTTTGCTGCTCAAGAGACCAGGCTTCGGCATCGACGATAATGGTGACCATGGCGCGATGCTTTATGCACGCTTAGTTAGTAGAGACAATCCTCGCCGCGGACTCAGCCACTCACTGTCCCGATGGGATAGCATTCGCTCTGGCCTGGCGCTTGCCAGTTGTTTCTTGGCCTTCTTTGGGGTATATTCAGGGTCTGGAGTTACGTCATACGAACTAGTATGTCAGATCTTAGCAATGAAATCCGTAGGCATATTCTTCGTCAGACAATCTACAGCCATAATACTTGCATCGACCCATCGGATATTATCAATCTTACCACAAACTATGCGTGGATGTAAAATCTCTCTTTCTCCCAAGCCATTAGTCCAAATATCCTGTCTGAAACTACCCAAATCAATGCTCGAGCGCTTATCTTTTGCCTTGCCCGTAGTTGGGGCTGCTAGGTGTTCTTCAAGGCTTTTACAATCCGTCGTCCATACATGTCTCGAACACATGGCTGATTTGTTGTCCCAATTGGTTGGCAGCTTTTTTCCGGCGCCAAGCATCCGACGCGCATCTGCGATGGCGGCGCGAATGCGCACGCCAGATTCTACACCCCATAAACACGCCAGAGTCTCTGCTCGTAGTGTCGATTTACCTACTCGTTTGATAATTTTACTAGATATTGTGGGGTCACCAGGCTGCAGGCCGGAGGTTCGCAGTTTCCTGTGCCAGTTGCAGCTTCCAGTTCCCTCTGTTACAGTTCTGCTTCTTGCTGCGTGCTGTTCCTTGTTGACTTCTTGCTGCTTACTGTTCCTTGTTGATGGACCGCGCGAGGGGGGAGGCCAAATCGTATTGTCTGAATTGCTAGGGTGGGTAAAAATTGCCACTCCTCACGCACATCGGCGGGGCCAGGGTCCAAAAACACATGGGGTTTGCCGCATGTTTGAAATTCGGTGGCACCTCTCACGCAGATCGGTGGGGTCAGGGTGCAAAAAAAACATGGGATTTACAACATTTCTGAAATTCGGTAGCACCCCTCACGCAGATCGGCGGGGTCAGGGTGCAAAAACACAAAGCATTTGCAACATTTCAGACATTCGGTGGCACCCCTCACGCAGATCGGCGGGGTCAGGGGCCAAAAACACATGGGATTCGCCACATTTCTGAAATTCGGCGGCACCCCTCACGCAAGTCGGCGGGGCCAGGGTGCAAAAACACATGGGATTTGCAACATTTCTGGAAATCGGTGGCACCCCTCACGCAGATCGGCGGGGTCAGGGGCCAAAAACAAATGGGATTAGCAACATTTCTGAAATTCGGCGGCACCCCTCTGCAGATCGGCGGGGTCAGGGTCCAAACGCACACGGGATATGCCACATGTAAAAAATCCGGTGGCGCCCCTCACGCAGATCGGCGAAGCCAGGGTCCAAAAACACATGGGATTTGTCACATTTCTGAAATCCGGCGGCACCTCTCACGCAGATCGGCGGGGCCAGGGTGCAAAAACACATCGGATTTGCCACATTCCTGACATTCGGCCTCACGCAGATCCGCAGGGCCAGGGTTCAAACATCCAAAGGATTTGCCACATATCTGAAATTCGGCAGCACACCTCACGCAGATCCGTAGGGTCAGGGTTAAAAAAAACAAACAAGTCCCGACGCTGCTTCACGGCGAAGCCAAAGCCTCATGACTTCGCTCTTCCATGGCCCATTCTCCGAGAGAAGGGGCCGGCGGCAGGGGGCGAAGCCCTTGCGGATACATACAGGGTGAACAGAATCACTGTTCCCCTCGATGAATCCAAGCCCCGCGAGTACATTGAACCTAGCCTTCTGTGATCTAAGAGGCTCGATTCTACCTTTGACTATATACTCTTCTCTTGCCCAGCTGGCGTCAGTAACAATAAGAACTCTCAGATCTTGATTCCAATTAACAGCACCACCTTTGAATGCTAACCCGCAGTCGGCGGACTGAATTGCTTCTTCTAATGCACGGTTGGCTTCTTTGAGATGAAATACCTTGGCGTGACGCACTGCTGTCTGCAGTCTGCTCACACGATACACTAGCTCAGGCTTGCACTGACGTGTAACCCATGGCGAAGCACCTACGACCAATCCGAACTGTGCTGTCTCGCCCTGATTGCATGTTCGCGTGAGGGGACTGACTCTAGGATAGGACGGAGCTTACAGCTTCGATCTTCTCAATCTTGCCATTGGCCGCGATACTCGCCGTGAAATTTTCATCTTGAACCACTTCTAAACCGCAATAACGGAGATGATCCGACTTGATCTCGCGAGAACCAAACTCTGCTAATGCCGAATCGATGGTTTCCCGGCTCTCATCATCTACAGCCCACAGTACGCCATCCACATGTGTACCTAACATACACGTGGTCTCATTCTTGTCATCGCGATGAACAAAGCAGGCATGCTACGATTCTCCTCTAGACCATGAGCTTCCAACCTTTTGCAAAGTTTCTCCCATGAGCCTCGTCCTGCGTCACGCGTGCCATAGACAGGCATGCGCGCGATCAGTGCTCCACCATCCGGTACTCCTTCGAATCCGTCGGGTGGTGGCTTGAGCAGCATGAGGCGGTCGAGTTCCTGACCCTGGAAGAACGCAGATGTAACGTCGGCGGACTTGAGCGTCTTCTTTGTGCCGGCGGCCCATGATACTATCAACCGTAGCCCTTCTAGTTCGCATGTTGGCGAATCCGAGCGGATACCCAGCGGCTCTTCCAAATCTCCACGTACGACAAATCTACCCTTGTACTGCGGTGCAACCGAAGGTCCACCCGGTCTACGGAGATGTTCACTCTTGTCAATCTCAATCCACTGCGAAGGTACCATGCGGTATTCTTCGTCGCAGCGATTTTGCAGTTCCACAAAATCAATAGGCACGGGGGCGTTGGACTTCCGCCATTTCCCTCATTCGCCTTGTTTTGCCAGTTGTAAGCCGCTTGTAACGTCATCAGATTCTCAATGGTATACCCGATTCTTTGTAGTGTGTATCTTCATCGTAAATTGCGGCTTATGAGCGGTGCGTTTGCCATGTGGCTTAACAGCGAATGAGGCTTCTCTGCCAGATGGAAGATCCATGTCCGGCCCTGATGTTGCGGCCCCGCGCATGGCCTCAAGAAGTGGGTTCGCTGGTGCGGGAGCTGGCTGCGAGACAGAATCGGAAACCCTTCCCGTGCTGACGTCGGAATTTTCGACACTTCTGCGCATCACTTCGCTGCGACTCTGCATGCCGTGTGAGGCGTCGTCGAATCGCGACCTCTGAAGAGGCGTTCGAGTCACTCGCGGTGATTGTCGTGGCGGCACAGGAACGACCATTCCATCAGACAGTTCATCTTGTTCCATTTGGCGAAATGCTGCTTCTATGAACTCGGGGTCTTCTGGGGTCCCCGGCAGCTCTTCCGTCGCCATCGGGTGTTCTTGCGCGGAATGCTCTTGGGCCCGTGGTTCTGGCAGCTCGCGTATTTCGTCCACGAATGACTGATGCTGCCCGTCTGGAGGTGCGCATCTTTCAACTCCACCGCCATGGTGCTTAGAGAGATACATGTCAGCGCTTCCGCCGCAGTGCGCGGGGGAAGCCTGCCGACAGCCGCGCAGACAGGCGCGCCCTCTGCGATGGCCCATGCGTTCTTGCCATCGAGTCCAACGGTGCGAGTACCAGTGCTCCACTTAGCAGTGACCTCGCCGTCGGTCGGCCATTTGCGAAAGCACGCTATATCACCTACTTGATATTATCCAGCTAATGGTGTTGCCTTTCGGAGAGCGGCCCTTACCGCCCCACTCCCGACGTCGTGTTCCGCGAATGCTTCTCTGGCAGACGCCCGGATCGCAGCCTGGCGAGAAAACTCGTCGGCTCCGTCCTCTGCAACACTCGCGCGCGCTCCTAAGTCGAAAGCTTCCTCGTCGTCGAATTGACTCCCTGGGACACGAGGCATCCTTCCGAGTGCCCGCTGAGCAAGCGCGAATCCGCCGACCCGTGACATCTCAATCTTCGTCTTCGCGCCGTCATCTTCTGATGCAGCAGAGATGGCTCCATCGAGCCCGATTGCATTATTGTCGCCACCTTCTTGGGCATGTTCTTCCAAAGTGCCCCGCGTCACTCGGCGCGGCCTATCTGCTCGGGAGACTTGACTCTTAACCCATTGCAGGAACACTCCTCTGTTGTGCAGTCCACGGTCTAACGCCATTCGTTTGGGCTTATCTGCCCGTGCACACCCGGGTTGCTGAAGTTCAGTGAGGCATGCTCTCGAAGACGACGCAGCACCTCTCTGACTCATACAGATTCCACGCTGAAATATTGAACCCTGGCACAATATGTTCAAGAAGGTGTAGCGTTCTCCACTGTTGTCCTTTACCTCTAGACAGTCGATGCCGATTTCATGTTTGAAGCTGAATTTCGTGGGCAAGGCAACCTTGTGAGTCTGAGCTAACGGTTTGTGATGTTCGCAAGACTCACGCCGATAATTCTTGGCAGCTTCAATGTAATCCGACGACATTCAGGATATTAGCAGTACCTGTACGAGTGCACGGTTAGGCACATGACCAAACTGTCTGTGCAATCGTCTAATGGCATCCCTTGTGCGGAGCGGCATTTGCAACCGAGCTTTCCTTATCTTTCCATCGTGCTTCGGCTCGCCAGGTAAGTTGATTTGTTCTAGGATATCTTGTTCCTCGTCTCGCAGGCGTTCCTTTGGGAACTGTAGCGACGTCGTCATCGCTGATCGTCGCGTCCACATCGTCTCGAACTCCCCCCATCTACAGCTTCAGCGGGGGATCCTGTGAGCGCAAGTCTATCCAGCCTAACGTTCTGACGTAATTCTCTGAGGCAGCCACAGAAGTTCTGACTCGCGATGTCTGCGTCTGGCTCGAGGTGCGAGTTCAGCGCGCTAGTCGCCTCAAGGCTTGACCAACCAGGCTCATGGCCGAGCGCAACAGTTACGGGGCCATTATCTGGAGCCAAACCAAAGAAATAATCACTGATCACATGATGGTTTGATGATGATGCGTAGGCGACAACGAGATCAGGATGGCGAACGACGACGCCTTTTGCCATCGGTGGCATCCAATCCTGGCGCGCCACCGCGTCGCTCGAGACTGGGCGGGCGAACGCGATGCCGACGACGCAGAGCAGCACCCTGGCCAGGTTGGTTCCCACTCGTCCGCGAAGCGGGTCGGTGTTCCTGATCACGGTAGTAGACATGCCAGATGCAGACAGCTCAGCAACACGCGCATGCAAAAACTCATATTGCAGACTGATGGTACGCAATCCAGAGCAATCTGTGGCACGACTTTTAGTATTCATGGTAGTCATCTCATGTTGGTACAGCTGCAGTGGCGTGCACGAATGCGATGCTCCGTCCACGCGGACCCTCGGAGGTTGCACAACTATTGCTACTCGATCGAACTCCTCGGCATCCACAGAAGAATTCATGGCTACACGTTCTTCTATACGCCTCCAGGACTGGGTGTCCTTGGTGCGACCCATAGAACTCTTCTTCCAAGAAGACCATGCCGGAGGGAATTTGATCAGAGTGTTGAACGGATCAAACTTGCAGTTCACACGCGCCAGCTCTTCAGCGCCCCGCTCTTCCGCGCGGCCCGTCGACCCCGCTGATGGGCACGATCGCAAAGCGACGTGCGTGATGCAATTCCTCTTCTTGCCCTGCTTCCTGGCCTGCTCGAAAAGCGAATTCAGCTGATCTGCGCCAACTGTAATCGGCTCGAAGTCAACGACTGGATCTCCGGCCCGCTCACCGCCCACCGTGGTCAGGTCCCTCTCGACAAGAGAAGTCGGGGATCCTGAACGAGACGCACGAGTCTCGATCGATTCGTCGTCGCTGATAGCGGCAACAGTTCTCGCCGGAGGCGGTGGCGGCGGCCCTGCCCTGCGCGGCGGCCCCGGTGGCGGAGGCGGCAGGGGGGTCCTGAAGCGCGCAGGCGGCGGTCCGTCCGGCTGCCTCCGCACGAGGACAGCGGTCTTGTGCTTGGGCGGCGGCGTCATAGGAGGCATTCCAAGAGGGCGAACGATCGTGCCCGGAGGTGCAGCTTCGCCCGGTGGCAGTACCGTCACCTTGCTGGTGCTGCTCATGCGAGCCTTCATCTTCGGCGCGCCGTCGTCATCGTCCTGCGAATCGCGCGCCTGATATGAAGGGGATGATGCAGCGGCAGAAGACGATGCGGCGACAAGTGGTGGCGAAGCAGCAGCAGCGGGAATACTACCACCAACATATTTGGGCAATATACCGGTTTCTGCATACTCACGAACAACGCGCGCAAATCGCATAATCTGCAGGCGGCCTGTTGTCCGCGTGACAGATCTCCAAATAGAGAACTGCAGCTCTTTCCCAGCATATCGCTTCGTCGTGGTCTTGAAATCTGCCTCAATATAGTTAGCGCCGAGACGTCGACGCCAGATCGTTCTGATGTGTTCGCGGATGGCAGTGGCCACGTCGTTATCATCTACACCGTCAGCCGCACTCGATGAAGCGCGAGATCTCTTCTCCACCCTCCTGGCCAACTCAGCCCCGTCACCGGGTCTGCGCTGGGCAGACGGCTCAGGAACTGGAGGCGGTGATGCACTGAACTTCTCGAACAGATTCAGCGAAGAGCGAAGCCATCTTGTCGGTCGCAGAACGCGCCATTTCACGGCCCCAATCGGATGCGTGGCAGCAGTCATCGCCTTCTCCGTTGCAAGTGCGCTGGGGCCACCCATGGCGACTCAGGTGTGCAGCGCTGTATTCAATGTCATGCGGCTGCAAGAACTGCTTAACCATGACTGACAGCAACAGGGCGATGCCGACCAGAACGACAGATGGCAACAACGCGCGCAGACTGCGAAGACTCGTTCTTCGCCAACTTTCCCTACAAACTCAGCGATGCCAACAAAATGCTCCTATAGCATACTCTGTAATGATCTCTCCAATGCTCTGACAAGCTGCTTAAGGTCTTCTGCCGCCCAGGGTGTAGTTGCATTTGTTCGCGTCGTCGGATCTCAGGGGCAAGAACAGGCACTCCCGCGCACGGGCAACATTCAGGATGCTGCGAGCGGGGTGCCGTGATCACGAGAACATGGTGCAGCCTGCTGACGCGTGGTACGACAACGTAAGAGAGGCTTCGACCGCTCTCCAATCTGCCACAGTGGACGGCTTGAAAGCGCCTTCGGAGAAACATCCGCAGATAGAGGCCTCCTAAATGAGGTCCGAATCGACCCTATCTACTCAGACCTCATCTGGGAGGCGGATGCTGGGCCTGCTCGGGCAGAGCCCAGGCCCTCGTCGCTTAAGGGTACGACGACGCAGGACAAGCTTTGACCACTCTCCAAACTGCCAGTGACGGCTCCAAGATGCCTCTGGAAGGCCTCCGCGGATCACACAGAGAGCCACTGCGGGGCCAGGCCTGCCCGGGCAAAGCCCACCCAAACCATCGCCGCTCTGGAAGGCCATCGGAACGGCGCAGAAGCCTCCCGAATAGAGGTTGCCGTGAGCGCGGAAGAAGCGGCTGAGGGAGCTGTCGGCGGCGACGAGGCGCCCTCGGCAGGTCGTCCGCACGTGGTCGCCCGGGGTGTGGCCCACGACGATCAGCTCCGCCGCGGTGTCCGCGGCGAGCAAAGCCAACACGTCGTCAACCTCTCGGGATGCCCGAAGTGGGTACGGAAAAGATGGGTGCGATGGTCAACGACAAATGTTGTCCAACACCGGCAGCGGCGGCCCTTGGGCAGGCGGCCTTCTGTCCAAAACGGACAGCGTCCGCGGCGGCACTGACAGCGAACCCTGCTCAAAATGAGCAGGAACTGCCGTCGGTCTTCGGACCCACCCCTTCCGAACCCATTTCGATCGTACCGAACCTCGCCGCACGCCCGTGGTCCGCTGTACTTCTCGTGGTACCCGCGGTACGTCACGGCCTCGTCGACGAGGTCGCCGTGCCTGACCCGCTCGGGGTGCCGCAACACGCCCTGCAGCGCCGCCGCGAGCTCCTCGCCCGGCGGTCGGGCGCCCGGGCGCCGCAGCACCTCTCGCAGGAGCGCCGGCGGTAGGCCCCCGTGGACGATCAGGGCGCCGCCTACCTCTAGGAGAGAAATTCCCGGGAAGCCTTCCAAGACGAACCCAGGACGCGGAGTACATCAAGTCAAGTGAACCGTGCCTGGACGGCACATCGGTTGCAGGTGGCATGCATGAATGTGTGTGTACAACAGCACGCCGGCGCCGACAAGGCGAGGAGCAAGGCACAACCACCCGTCACTGGCTCCGGCTCCATAAATCGAGAATCTCTGAGATGCGGCGGCTCTGGAGGATGTCTCGGGCGCCGCGGCCTTCTCAGAGCGTTCCGGAACGCTCGGGGAACGCTCTTCAATGGGTATGTCCTCGTCCTAGCCTCGTCCGAGGCCTTCGTGAGACCGATGAAAGGACATCAAACTCCAAACAGAACCGTGCATTAAGCCAAAAGGGGCCTTGGTTAAGACGGACTGACCGGAATATATGCTGGACTCTATCGGCATTCGACCGCGAATGTACCAACGCCGATGCCGAATTCAACTTCGCAAGAGTTGCATCTCAACCACCTGGGCCGCCACCGGGCGCTCCGCGAGCCAGGACAGCAGGCCGGTGCTGGCGAGCCCCGAGGACATGCATCGGGTGTTGCTAGAAGCTCGCGGGGGCCCTCTCGGCCACGGGGGGGGTGCTCTGAAAGCCATCTGCGCCTTGCTGGGAGAGCTGGGGCCACGCCGGCAGGCCATGGGGCACTTCTGGCAACACCCGAATGTAGCCCTGCCACTCCCGCAGCCTCGCGCGCGTCCGCTCTGCCAGCCCAGGGTCTTCCCTGAACGGCGGCGCGGCCTCGAACAGGTCCAGCTTCCCAGGCGTCGGCGTCAGCATGACCTGGGCCTCGCCTCTGCGGCCATAGACCCAGGCCAACGCCTGGAAGAGAGCTCCGAGGGCGGCGGCAGTCTCGTTGTCGCTGCGCACGTGGTCGGGCATCCAATTCAAATACTCCTCGGGGTGCGTGAACGCGTACGCGAAGTCCCGGACTGGGGAGCCCATGACGTGGGACGCGCCCATGCTGCCCAGCGAAGCGTCCAAAAAAAGGTAGAAATCGTGGTTCCCCAGCATGGCCAAGACCCGGTCGGGAAACGTGTCGGTCAGGTTGCGGACGAACTCTAAGACCTGGCGCCCCTCGGGCCCCTTGTCGACGTAGTCCCCAAGGAACACTAGCGTGCTCTGTGGGCTTCCCGTCCACACCCAGGACTCGAGATCCACAAGCCCGCTCTGGCGCACCCATTCCCGCGCGCAGTGCAGGTCCGCGAGGCAAGGCTTGGGGCTGCGCACAGCAGCCCCCAGAGGCAGCCCAAGCTGGACCCAACGCTCAGCGGGGGGGGGCGCACAAGCGCCCTCGGGGGCGTCGACGCAGGCGTCGCGTGGGTGTCAAGTCCGGTCCTGACTGTCCAGGGGGCGTGCCGAGGCCGGCATGCGTGCAGCAACATGTGCTCAAACACCGGTCCCGCCACAAGGCTCGAACAAAACAATGTTTTCCGTTTTCGTGTTGTCCTCGTTTCCTTCGTTCTGTCTTTCATCACGCCTTCGCCGCAAAACGAAATCAAAGAAACAACGGTCCACGAAATCCCCCAAGCACGGTTTAGCTCGAGCTCTGCCCCACCACATCCCCTCCCTGTCATCCCAACCCGTCTTTCGAGCTGCGCCAAGCCCCGTCATACGAGGGGGGGGGTCCGAAGGCCAGGCGGTCCAGGGGAACGAGGATGAGCCAAGCCCCAGGTCCTTTGACTCCCCCTCGGGCCCAACCCACCCTAGCCCGTGTCCTGGACCCCGTTCAGCCGTGGCGACGAGGAGGGCCCTCGAAGGTCAAGCAACGATGAGCTGCGCCTATTGAGGTCGAATTCGGCCTGTCAGCTCCTCTCGGGAACCGTGCGCGCGCTTATCCGAGGCCGAGCTCGACTTCAAAAAAGACAGCCCCAAGGCCTTGCCAGGTCTGCGTGCAGGTCACCGATGACGTACGCCTCCAGAAGAACAAACAATTGCATAAACATATACTCTTTGGGGGTCCGCGCGGATTGCTCGGATCGGCGCTGGACACCCTGCCCTGGCGCGCGGAGCGCGCCATGGGCGGAGCCGGAGGCGTCGTCAAAGAGGCCACGCGCCAATCCGAGAAATCCGCGCGGACCTCCGTTTACCCCTCGTTCCGAAGAAGTTGGTGGAAAATTGAAGCCGGAACGCATTGCATATATTTTGGGATCCCGCCCGCCCTCTGAAGAGGAAGGGGAAGGTAAAGCCATTCGACTCTTGAAGTAGGAAGGCGACTGCACTAGACTGAAATCTTGGAATCCAAAAGCTGGAGGCGACCAGGGGGTCTGAACTGGCTGGGGCCCCAGAGAATCGGTCAGGAGGTGCGATGAGGCCAAATCCGCTCAAAATCAGTCCCCAGACCCCTCCCAAAGTCCACCCGGTGCCAATTTTCACCACCGATCCTCTTCTGATGGTCCTGGGGGGCTCGAAAGCGGCCCCCAGGAGACATCACCCAAACACAAGAACCTCCTCGAACCAAACACCCTCAACCTCGCTTCCCCCCCTGCTCGCTGCTCGCCGGAAACAGTGCTGGGCTTCCTCAGACCCCCCGCTTGCTCCAATCCAAACGTACCTCACAACGAACGACGGGTGTGCAGCCTCAGTTTTATTCTTCGAGCCTCCTCGAGGTCTTCGCCCCCATGCCGCAGCGGCCGCGGCGCGGTGCGCGCGGGCACCGACGCGGCGCAGAGCGCGAGGCGGAAACGCGCGCCGCCGAGCGACGCGGGGCCACCCGCCGCTGCCCGCCGCCGCGGCCACGGGCGCAGGCCGTGGGCGGCCAGCCCAGACGTCTGGCGTTTCGCAAAATCGGGAAGGAGGTTCTTCATCGTTTTCGGCCTCCCGGGGCCCTCGCCGGGCCTCGGGACCGTCACAGGAAAAAGGCTCGGCATGAAAACCTGGTGCAAGGGGAAATGGTCGAGAGATCGGGGGACCATGTCCCGAGCAAAATCACAACGCCAGGTATCTGGGTAGAGTCTCTGCGGGTCTTCGGGTACCTCCGAAGCAGCATCGATCTTCGATCGTCCTCCCCCTTGCTCTCCTCTCCTCCCTCCTCCTCCTCCTTTTCTCCTCCTTTCTCTTTCTCCCTCCCACGCCTGCTTGCCCAGACTCAGAACACAAAACGGCGACTTAGGCATTGCAGCGCGCGCGCGCCCACCCAACGCCGTTCAGGAACACCCAATCTGCCTTTCTGCTCTCGACCGTCTCTCGCTGGGGGACAGCCCACGTCTGACGTTGGCGATGTGCGCCTCTCTGTGGGCGGTGGGTATTCCCGCAAACGCGACGCGCAATTGCTCAAAGTCACGGGTGCGCCCGGCAACTGCACGGCGGTAGCCCCGAGCCCCAGGGTTATTTTAACACCGCAATTTTATTCGATATTCCACGGGGGCATTTTCGCAGAGCGATATCTTTAGCACCACGCGCGAACAACAACACAAAATCCCAATCGGTGGCGGCCCCTATGGGGCCAAGAAAGGAATTCGCAGGGAATGTCAAGGATCTCGCGCATTCCGCGCCCCCCTGCGGGTGAGGCAGCGGGCCCCTTTTCGGAGGTGCGATGGCTGAGGCGCGCGTCGGCACATTGCTGCGCATGCGTATGCGGAGGGGAAGCGCCAGAGTCCGAGGATGGCGCAGCAGTGCTCAGTAGAGATTGGCAGGGCCCAGCAATGCTTAGCAGAGCCTGTGCCCTCTGGAGGCCCTCCTGGTGCCGAGGTAACGCTTCCAGGGTGCCGGAACCGTTGTCGTTTCAGCGGAAGGGGGGGTCTTAGATACTTCTAGATGAAGCACTTAGTGCAGACACGGTATTCCCTCATCGTGCTCAACTCATGGCCGTTCTCGTCGCCGTCCAGCGCGCCAGTGCCCTCAGGCTCGCAAGGGAAGGCTGCCTCAAGCAGGCCAGGAGTTCCACCGCCACAGCCTCCCGCGCTCTGTGGTCTTGCCGATGATCCCGCAGCGCAGCCAACAGCACCTTGCTGGGCTGGCGCCGCTGCGCACCGCGCCGTCATCACATTCCCCACTGCCCACCGCGCGGAGGAGGGCTGGGCTGGCGTCGCTGCGCACCACGCTGCCGTCACTCTCCGCGCTGCCCAGCGCGCGGCGGAGGGCTTGGTTGGCGCCGCTACGCACCGCGCCGTCGCCGCTCTCTTCGCTGCTCTTACGTTGCAGCCGCGGGGGACTCCTGGCAACTCCCCGCGGCGTTTTGGGAGGGGTCCTGGCCCTGCTCTGCCCCGGCGCTCCTGTCGTCGCCGCCGCCGGCGCCCTCGAACCTCCGCCCCAGGGAAGCGCCGCATTCGCCGGGCGGGCCACCCTTGGGACAGACTGCCATCGGCGAAGGCTCCATCCCCGAGATCCTCAGCACAGCGGCCCAATCGGTCTTGCTCCACTGCTGGGCCGCCGTTTCTTCCACGGGGCGGGGCAAGCTCGTCGGCGCCGCCCGTGGGTCTCCTCCCCGCAGCCGGCCTCGCCGCGCGGGAGCCCGCTGGCATCGGTCAGCAGACGGCGCCATGGGCGCGGGGTCGTGCGCCTTGGTGGCCAAGTCATGCGCCTCGATTGCATTGTAGCGCGCTCGGAGGAAAGCGCCCGCCGCAGCGCGATCTGCGCTGTCTAGATCGCGGGGGATCTCGAGCAGCGCATCGCCCGTGAATTCGGCGCCCTCCCCTTTGGTCGGTTCGATGACGTCGTCTTGGATGACAGGGCTCCGGTCAGGGCGCTCGACGGGTAAAACCGGGCCAGCGCAACGCGCAGCCTCCAACTTCCGCGCGGAGAGCGGCGCGGCCATCAGCAAGCCGGCCGCCTCCTCGTCTCGAGCCGGCAACGGAGGAGTGTCCTTTCCACGCGCGCACTCCGCGCATTGGCGGTCAGCGTTGACGGTCGCCCCTCTTTCAAGAAACAATATGCGAAGCAACTCCTTCGAGATCTGCTGGCCCCTCGGCGGGCGCGGTGGCGCGGAAGGACAGATGTCCCCGCGCCCGAGCATCTCGTGCAACGCGTCGTTCTTCCCTGGAAGCGGAAAAAGGGATGGAGGAATGTAACCCACGTCGGTGTTCAGCGTTGGTCGCGGCACTTGGTCGCCGGGAGTGGGGGTCCGCTGATCTTAACGTCAGGCTCCACTTGTCCTTCGGATTCACCACCGTCGCCCTTCGGCAACTCCTCGTCGCCCGCGGCCGCGTGCGACGACGCGCGAGCGCGGGGGGCCGGAAGACGGGCAGGCTCTGCAAGGTCTGTCTCCGGGAAATCCACTGGGCCCCCGGCAGGCGGCTGCGCCTGGCCCGCGCCCCCCTCCCAATCCGCGTCAGGATCGTGCACTGGTGCTTCGGGCGGCCGCGGTGGCGGCAGCCGGCTGCCTCCCGTGCGCGCCCCAGGGGCGGGCTGATTGATGTGCGTGGCGCTGAGACACAGTCAGTGCAGCGGCCCCCCCCTGCCTCGTGGAATGGGGCCCGCCTCTTCCCGAGCCGCCCAGGCAAGTTGCGCGGAGGAGGGCGCGCGATCAGCGCGCCCTCTCTCGTAAATATTTCGTTCCTCGTCCATTAGCCGATGGTCCTTTTGCAGCGAACTCGGGCTTGCTCAACTCCATGCTGCGGCGCGCGCATGTCGATGCGCGCGGCGGAAGCGGTTTTGCACCTCGCGCAAACGACAGACGGAGGCATCACCTCCCCCTCTGTCACGTATGACAGCGAGATGCAGAAGCACACTAATGGCGGGCAACTGTAGACCTGTTTCGTGCATGCCGCGGCCATAGAGGCGGCTCGGTCACGACCCTCTCCAGTATTTGAACGCTGCAATGGTAAGATAATGGCTTCCTCCATCTGTGCTGGCTGATGATCAGGCGCTAAAAGCCTGGGGCCCTCTAGCATCGCGTGAGCGGGAAATATCTCACTGGCCTTGCAACAGAGCTCAAACCCAGTCGTGCCTATGGCCCCCCAGGAGCTCCAACTGCCACCGCCCGCAATCCTTCGGCGACGTGGCACGGCGAGAGGTTTCGCCAGATCATCGCGCGGGATGCGGCGCAGCAAGCTCCGCTCTCGCTCTCGCTTCGTCCTGTGCTTTTCTGGCCTGGGGCCAGCGGGGACATTGACCTCGCCCTCCTCTGGCGCGTTCTCCTTATCCACCTCGTTGGCCTCCGAGGCAGATGGCGCTGTCGTCGCCTGAGTCTCTGCCCTCCTCGCGTCGGCCTTTCGGCGCGCGGTCGGGCCCCCAGGCGAACGCCGCGTCTACCTCAGGAGCAGGATCGGCACAGCGGGGTCGATCCCCGCAAGCATTCTGCAATGCGCGAGCCTCTCCTCCGATGGGCTAGCGGCATATGGCGATGGAAAAGGGGTGCGTCTCCACGCCTCGAGACCAGCGCGCGAGGCCCACTTCATCTAGTGGTGTCGTGTAGGTCCCAAGTGGCGAAGTTGATGAGGTGCTGGAACATCTGTGCTCGGTCACTCGTGGTTCGTGCTATTTGAATTTTGTGGCGAGGGCTACGCGACCCCCTGCGAGTCTCACGATTCAACCGCTCGACGTCAATTGGCCCGCTCCCGCGACGGGCCCTCTCCTGCGCCGAGTCATTGATCTTCCTCGAGGGAACGAGAGTCGCCCCTCGAACTCCGCTGGGCTGTTCTTCGAGCGGGCCAGGGTCCACGCGGGCTCGGAAGTCCAGCTCGCAGTTGCCCCGTCGAGAAAATGAAAAAGCAAACTCATGCAGCCCCCGCTTGCGGGTCTGGCGTCAGCGGCGAAGTGGGGCCGCGCAGCTGCGCGGAAATTGTTCGCCGCCATCAGACAGCGCCATTGATTCCCCCCCCCGAGGTTTGCCATCTACGACGAAGAACACGTCGGTGCGACGTGCCGCGCTCGACGGGTCCAGGAGATGAAGCTCGCTCGCGACGTCCAAGCCGTCGCCAAAAAGCTCGCAGGCCACCGGGTAATTCGCGTGGATGAACGTCGCTGCCCCCGTATCCTCAAACGCGTGCACTCCGCGGGCTTTCGCGCCAGAGCACTGCTTGGTCTTGGCCCTGCCGCCTTTGTCATCCCGCGAGACAATGAAGACGCCCGCGTTGATCGTGACCACCAGGAGGTTGGTGTCGATCGCATGGGGGAGAACGACGACAGCCTTGCTGCATCATCTATTATTTGCAAGACTTCGGGGGGACCGTGACCGTGGGGAATCGCCAATGTAGTGAAATGCTCGCTGTTTTCAACCAAGATTCTCCTTAGATCGAACGCGTCGCAGAGTGTCGCATTCCCGCTCCGCAATTTGAGGTGGGCCTCCGTGGGCGGGGGCGGCGCTGCCACCCGAATGCGGTTGGTCAACAACTTGGACTGGCTGGTGTTCGCGATAATTCTCGACTCGCCATCTTCCGCCTGGTCGGGCCCCGCGGTCTTTGAAAGCTCCTTCGGAGCAAGTTCGTCCGCCGCGCGCCGCTTGAGCACAGTCGATCTGCGACTCGGGTGCAACGCTGCGACCGAAAAGTTTGCCCTCTGCTGGCCCTGGCCCGCGATGGTCGGAGACTGATGGGTCTCCGAAGAAGCATGGGCCTTCTCACAAGCGATCACACTCTCGCCTATGCGGCACCTCAACGAGCGATCTCCACCGTGAAGGGTCGAATGCTCGAGGGTGCGATCCGCGAGACTCGCCCACCAAACGAGGATGCTCGTTTCCTGCTCC